ACCGACGGAGCACACAAGACACCTCAGTAAGCCGGGGAAATTCATCAGCACTGCCGTACATGCCACCGACCAGCCCACCCATGTGCACGGACGACGCTCGGATACACTAATGGTTGAACCAACCACTCGCAACTGACGGCATCGATCATTCGAGCCGGCGGCTGGACCGCAGCTGCAATGGGTCAGAGAGGGAGATCGGGTACGCTCTAGGCATCGCAGGGTTCTCCAATCAAAGCCATCACGTGGCATATGCGACTGTCCAGCCCACACAAAAAAAAGTGCGTACGTACCTCTCCACAGCAACCAAACGTGCACCGACAACACTCGTAAAAATTTCGTGTTCGCTCTGTAGAACGCAGAAAGACACCCCCGCGTCGTACGGCAACTCACAGAAGTTCCAGCGCCGTCAAGCCCTCGAAGATCCCCGCCGGCAGGGTGGTGAGAGCGTTGTTTCCAAGCGACCTTCCGGTGTCGGGGAAAGCGACCAACGGAGCACACAAGACAACTCAGTAAACCGGGGAAAATCATCAGCACTGACGTACCCGCCACGACCAGCCCACCCATGTGCACGGACGACGCTCGGATACACTGATGGTTCAACCAACCACTCGCAACCGACGGCATCGATCATTCGAGCCGGCGGCTAGACCTCAGCTGCAATGGGGATCGGGAACGCTCTAGGCATCGCAGGGTTCTCCAATCAAAGCCATCACGTGGCATATGCGACTGCCCAGCCCAAAGGAAAACGTATGCGGACGTCCTCTCCACAGCAACCAAACGTGCACCGACGACAATCGTTAAAATTTCTTGTTCGCTCTGTAGAACGCAGAAAGACACCCCCGCGTCGTACAGCAACTCACAGCTCAGCCAGCGCCGTGAAGCCCTCGAAGATCCCCGCCGGCAGGGTGGTGAGAGCGTTGCCATGTAGCCACCTTCCGGTGTCGGGTAAGCGACCGACGGAGCACACAAGACACCTCAGTAAGCCGGGGAAAATCATCAGCACTGCCGTACACGCCACCGACCAGCCCACCCATGTGCACGGACGACGCTCGGATACACTGATGGTTGAACCAACTCCTCGCAACAGACGGCATCCATCATTCGAGTCGCCGGCTGGACCTCAGCTGCATTGGGTCAGAGAGGAAGACCGGGAACGCTCTAGGCATCGCAGGGCTCTCCAATCAAAGCCATCACGTGGCATATGCGACTGCACAGCCCAAGTGAAATATTGTGCGGACGTCCTCCCCACAGCAACCAGACGTGCACCGATAACACTCGTTAAAAGTTCATGTTCGCTCTGTAGAACGCCGAAAGACACCCCCGCGTCGTACGGCAACTCACAGAAGTTCCAGCGCCGTCAAGCCCTCGAAGATCCCCGCCGGCAGGGTGGTGAGAGCGTTGTTGCCCAGCGATCTTCCGGTGTCGGGGAAAGCGACCAACGGAGCACACAAGACAACTCAGTAAACCGGGGAAAATCATCAGCACTGACGTACACGCCACCGACCAGCCCACCCGTGTGCACGGACGACGCTCGGATACACTAATGGTCGAACCAACCACTCGCAACAGACGGCATCGATCGTTCGAGCCGGCAGTTGGACCTCAGCTGCAATGGGTCAGAGAGGGAGATCGGGAACGCTCTAGGTATCGCAGGGCTCTCCAATCAAAGCCATCACGTGGCATATGCGACTGTCCAGCCGAAAGGAAAAGTTGTGCGGACGTACCTCTCCACAGCAGCCCGACGTGCACCGACAACACTCGTTAAACTTTCGTGTTCGCTCTATAGAACGCAGAAAGGCACCCCCGCGTCGTACAGCAACTCACAGCTCAGCCAGCGCCGTCAAGCCCTCGAAGATCCCCGCCGGTAGGGCGGTGAGAGCGTTGCCATATAGCCATCTTCCGGTGTCGGGGGAGCGACCGACGGAGCACACAAGACACCTCAGTAAGCCGGGGAAAATCATCAGCACTGACGTACACGCCACGACCCACCAATCCATGTGCACGGACGACGCTCGGATACACTGCTGGTTGAACCAACCACTCGTAATAGAGGGATCCAACGAACAGACCGAAATATTTTTGCGCATGGCTCGTAACCAGATTCACAACATGACGGGATTCATCCATCGAGCGCTGGAAGTGAAGCAGTTCGTCAAGCACATGGTTAACGTACCATCCCGTGAATCATGGCACTCACAGTTCCACGACCAGTTCTTGCCCTGCGTTGTCCAGGCATGACGCGAGATCACCCCCGTCGACGTCTTCATCAGTTATACCGCAGTCGTAGAGATACCTATGGTATGATCGCACAAGAAAAACAAATTGAGGGTCATGTCTTGATTATTAGTCCGCGGTGCGGTGACGCACTGCAATTCTAGGGCGGTGGGAATTCCTCGCGAAGATGCTGTAAAATGCTGCCGAAATGTATTAAAAAGAGGCAAAGCGGGATTCAATGATACTGCAAGGCATTCGCTAAGCCAGCTCAAACGTTCTGCGTCCGTCCACGCCGAGTACAGAAAATATAATCATGCCAGCGACATCTCAATTGTGGTCTTCGCAGGGTAAGAGCCAGAGGTAGACTCTGTTTGTCGGCCGTACTCCGCGTACTTATCGGGTATTGTTTGTGTAGTGTATTAACTTCAGACGGTGAGGCAACGCCCGTACCCAGGGCGCTGTCGTGCGCAGAAAGGAGGAGTGGCAGCAGGGCTGCTGCACACAACAAAAGGGGGCCCCGGTGCATCATCACCGTACCCCTACCTAAAAGGTTCTACACCATCTGCGTCACACTTGTACGTACGGCTAACATATCCAAACCATGTCCGTAGACCCACGAACACCCTCCCTGGTTCTTCACGCAAGTGACTAACCATCAGTGGGGCAAAAACACCCCGGATACATCAATAAAATGCCAATACGGTGGTCGAGGGGAAACCCGGCGCCCGGGCAAAACCCCTCGAAAATAAACCCCATCCAACACAAACCATTGCTATCACGGCGGATCACAACGGCCGCACTTATCAGGAAGGCCAAGGCGAAGACAAGAATGCAAGGCAAGCCTCCTACTCTTGCCAAGGGACACAGCCCGCGACAGTAATGCATCTTTCCCCGCATGGTATACATGACCTTCCCCAAGCGCTAAAAAATCCTACAGAAGCTCCGGCAAATTCATCAGCTTTTTCCGGTGGTACTGCAGGTTGCTCTTGCTAAGAGCCTTGGTGAGCATGTCTGCATGTTGCTCCGACGTCGACACAAACTTGATCGAGATGTCACCCGACCTAAACAATCCACGAATGAAGTGGTACCGCACGTCGATGTGCTTGCTACGCGCTGAGCTAAGGGGGTTCTGCACCAAGGCCATGGCCCCCTGATTGTCCTCAAGGACCTGAATGCTACCGCCACTGGTCTCTGGGGCAATAAACGAGAGCACTGCACGCACAAACAAAGCTTGTTTCACACCCTCCCCTGCAGCAATGTACTCTGCCTCCGTAGACGACAAAGATACGATAGCTTGCGTCTTGTTACCGTGGCTGATGACGGTTCCTCCAACCGTTGTTGCCAGCCCTGACACCGAACGTCTATCCTCAGCGTCGGCGTAGCTAGCGTCCACGTACACCGCCAGCCCCAGCCCCGATCCCCGTTTATAGGTGATCCCGAGGTCCCTCGTCTCTTTGAGGTAGGCGAGGATCTTCCGTATCGCCTTCCAGTGCCTCTCGGCAGGGGCATGGGCGTGGCGCGCTACCGCACGCACAGCGAACGAGATGTCCGGGCGCGAGAACGTCGACACCCACATCATGCTGCCGATGGCCTCCCTCACCGGCCACTCCCCTCCACTTTCGTCATCTCGCTTCGGTCCTAGGTCGGCACCAGGGGAAGCAGGGATGGGGGAGGTCGATTGCACATCAAAGCGATTCACGATGCTGTCAATGTACGCGGTTTGGGAGATTCTAAGGGTCCCAGCCTCTAGGTCTCTCTCAACGGCACACCCGTCGAACCACACACACTCTCCAAGGTCTTTGGTGGGGAATGCCTTGTTGAGGGAAGCGAGCAACTCCTTGCAATCATCATCAGACCCAGCCACCAAAATGTCATCCACATAAATCACGATAATCATCACCACGACATCGTCTTTCATCTTGCGGAAGACGCACGGGTCCGCCTTGCACTGCTCGAACCCGTTTTCTACAAGCGTGTCGGCAGCGTGGTACCCCCACTGCCTGCCGCTCTGCTTCAAGCCGTAAATAGCACGCTCAGCCTTCACAACTTTGTGGGATTTTTCCCCGCACCCCGCGGGGAGCCTCAAGAACACATCCTCGTCTAACGTAGCGTGTGTAAACGCCTGCTTGACATCCCAGTGGTTGAGTTTCAATGATTTCTCATTGGCTACCGCAAGCATCAGTTTAATGGATGCGGATGATGGGCAAGGGGAGGATGAGTAGAAGTACACATTCGGAATTTGCGAAAAACCCCTAGCGACCAGACGCGCTTTGAACTTCTCGATTTTCCCCTCCTTGTTCGTCTTCCAAGTAAAACGCCACTTAGAACTCACAGGTCTACGCCCCTCTGGCGTACCGTCTACGAATGAAAACGTTCCCGTGTCCAAGTGCCCATCGAACTCTTCCCTCATGGCCTGTTCCCACCCCTCTCTGTACACAGACTTGGCCACGCCGGCTACGGTCATGGGGGGGGATTCAACGTCACTCGGACGCTTGCCTATGGGGGATTCTGTACTCAGCTCGGTCGACGCCAGGGCCCTCACGAAGGCGTCTGGAGAGTTGAGCACGAGGTCCTCCGCTCCCAGCAGGAAGTCCTCGGCCTCTTGGCGCGCGATGTTGGCCTCCTCCGCGCGCTCGCACAGCAGCGCTTGCACCGCCCTCGCCTCTAGCCCTTCCACCACGTCGACCACACACGCGAGCATCCAGTGGGTGTACTCCTCCGTGCTGTTGATGGGCAGGGTGGGCAGCCCGGCCGCCGATGCATGGCGGGCGAGCAGACCTTCGGCACTCGTTGACGACTCGTACCTCGTGTTCCGGCGAGGGTTCTCCCTGAGTCGGCGGCTGGTGAGTTCGGCCGGCTCGCCAAAGCGGGCGAGCCTCCGTTCCTCGGGCCCGCGGAGCGCCGGAATATCCGTGTCGCTGCCGCTGTCGCTGCCGCCACCGCTGCTGCTGCTGCTGCTGCTGCTGCTGCTGCTGCTGCTGCTGCTGCTGCTGCTGCTGCTGCTGCGGCGGTCGTCCTCGCCGCCGCCCACATCGGCCATCCCGGTCGACGTGGTAGATGGGGCGACGCTCGCGCCCTCCCTGCTCGAGGGGGCGCCATCGCCAGCGTCGCCCGCGCCCGAATCCTGGGGCGCGGCCGGCGGCACCGCCGGCGCATCGCGCGCGGGCGGCTCCGCGGGCCCCGGGTTTGCCGTCGTGTCAAGGTGGAAACCTCCATCCTCAAGTTCTCCCTCCGCCCTCCCTCCACCGTGGCATGACGCACCCCCCCCGCCCTCGTGCTCCCCAGTCGTGAGCTCCTCGTCCTCCTCTGCAATGGGAGGCAGCGGTGCTCGGGTTGACGTCCTGTTGGGGATGGGCTTGGATAGCCCCTTTGCCGTCGAGCACCCCATGCACTCCCGGAGCTGGCCCACCAGCGTCACTCCTTGCTGCTTCGCCGTGTTCTTCAGCAGCACCTCGTGGGAGTGGCCGTGCGCGCAGTGGAAGTCGTTGACGTCAACGGGGGTGCGGTTCGCTTTCGCGTTACCAGGAGCAATTATGGCACAGGCTAGTTCCCTACCCGACTCTATGCGGTGACCAGTCTGAACGAACAGGTCCCCCCATAGAGGGAAGTACACCGACTCCCCCCCACCAACGAACACCTCCAACTCGTGCTCGTCTGCGGCTAAGCGGCCCTGGTTTGTTTCAAGAGGGCTGTGAGGGACACGAGGTTGTAGTTGAGCACCGGCACATGAGCGACCCGTTTCAACAACAGGTCTGTGGTCCCAACGCGAGAACCGATGGTCACCCTCACGTCGCCATACCCTACGATGGCGAAGGCTTGCTTCCCTGCGGCGACAATCAAACGTCGATCGCACTCATGGTAGTTGTCGAACGCGTTAGCGCTCGGGAACATGTGGTTGGTTGCGCCGGTATCGGCCACAAACCTTTCCTGCCTGGCCTGCTCTACACCCCCTCGATCAACGACTCTGTTCCACTCGCCTGTGAAGTCGCGGACCACTAGCGCCTCCTCTGCCACGTCCAGTGGGTGGCGTCCAAGACCGGCAGCTCCACCGCGATCACCGCCTGCTCGGACGAGCACGTGCTCTTGTCGTGTCCGTAGCCCAGGCACTTCTCGCATCGCAGGGGCTCGGGCTTGGTACAGGCGGCCGCCTGGTGACCGTTTTCTCCGCACCGGAAGCAGCGGCCGTGCATGCTACTTGCACCGCCGCCGCCGCCTCCGCCGCTGTTGCCACCACCACCGCCCCCACCGCCCTTGCTGCCACCCCCTTTCCCCTTCTGGCCGCCACCACCGCCGCCGCCACCCTTGTTGCGGCCGCCGCTGCTGCGGCCGGGCGCTCCACCCCTGCTGTTACCGTCGCTCGCGAGGAAAGCATGCTCCGCCTTGTGCTGGCCCATCGGGGCCTTCCTCCCCTCCGGGAGGCTCGCGTGCACCGTGCTTACGATCCTGACGATGTCGCCCCTGTCCAGCTTTGTCGCCGTCTCCAACAGGAACTTCGCTTGTTGGTACTCGGGTGGAAGCGAGTCGACGAAGTGTGCGAGGACAAATGGTGTGTCAGCGTTGAGCCCCTTTTCGCGTAGGCGCATGTATATCTGCTCGAGCTTGCTTAGGTGCTCGATTGGATTGCTGCTGCTGTGTGCCGGGATCGAGAAGCGGAACATCTCTTTCATCAGGGCTTGTTTGGATCCCTGCGACTCGGGGTCGTAAACTTTTTCAAGCTCCGTAAGGACCCCCTTCGCCGTCACACAACTACTGACGACCGCTTTGTCGGTTTCTTTCACCACGGCGGTAGTGATGAAGTGGAACGCGGCGAGCCCATGTGCGACCTCGCTCCTAGTGTAGCGCAAGTCGTTGTAAAGTGTGGAGGTGGGCATATTCGGGTCGCCCACGGGGGCATGTCTCTCAGTACTCCCGATGAATTGACCGTCTAGTTCCACGGTCTTAGCGGCCTGGATGAAAGCTTTTCGCCACGTGCTAAATCCGCTGCTGCGGCCCCCCTCAAGGCGAGGGGCCACCACGTTCACTTTCTTCGAGTGATTGAAGCTATCGATGTAATCACCGTTACCACGAGTTGCGGGTATCTCACCTGGGGGGTTTAACCCCCTCGCTTCCCCGCGGTCAGCTCCTACGCCAGGCCCCACTCTCCCTGGAACCCCAGGACTCGCTCCCGGTATGTTGTCCCAGCGGCTTTCCCGCGGGTGATTTGGCCCATCACGGGTCGCTTCCCGGGAAAATGCCCCGCCGCCCTCTGACGGCAAGGACTCTCTCTGGCTTGGGACGGCAGCACCGCCGCCCCTACTGGCATCGCCCGCCACGGCGTCGCCAGGCTCCTTCCTCTTAAGCTCCATTACTATGCTCATCAGCTGCTATAACTGGCCCTCCAGTCTCGCAATCGCCGGGTCCTCGGCGTGTTGCTGTTGCATGGCTGAGGTCTCTTCCCCCAGCCCTTCGACCGAACCGCTGTCCGACACAGCCATCTCCCGATGCGGCTATCCCTCGAGGGACAAACTCTAGAGTGTTTGTCGACACAGCCATCTCCCGATGCGGCTATCCCTCGAGGGACAAACTCTAGAGTGTTTGTCGGCCGTACTCCGCGTACTTATCGGGTATTGTTTGTGTAGTGTATTAACTTCAGACCGTGAGGCAACGCCCGTACCCAGGGCGCTGTCGTGCTCAGAAAGGAGGAGTGGCAGCAGGGCTGCTGCACACAACAAAAGGGGGCCCCGGTGCATCATCACCGTACCCCTACCTAAAAGGTTCTACACCATCTGCGTCACACTTGTACGTACGGCTAACATATCCAAACCAACCATGTCCGTAGACCCACGAACAGACTCACAGATATCCGTCTTCATCGACCTCACAGCTGTAGTCGGCGTCGGTAGGATCGAGGCACGGACTAACTGCAAACGAACAGAGCACGCAGAGCGGGAGGGCGACCAAGGGTTGTTCCAAGCTTTGAAACAGGATCGAGTTTACTAGAATCGCTAGTTCGTAGCCGACACAGCATCGCACCACCACCAGATCGTACTCACGTATGATGACCGAAGCGAACCATTCACTTCCTGGTAGCATCCACCTACCTGCCGATGCGCCAGACAAGGCGCAGAAAGCCGGCAGAAGGACCATAAATGCCTCCATGCCCCGAACCCGCGTAAGCTGCTCGATTCGGGGGAGAACAGTACAGAGGTAAGGAAAATTAGCTCAAGCCTGAGGGCGCGCCGCAGGCCTCCGTTCGGCGCCCGAGAGCGAAGCGGCGGGATTGCGCCCACTCTCAACTCGACACGATTGGAGTCGCGTGTTGGCCCGCGACGCCGGGGCCGCCTCTCGCCCTCCCGCTCCGCGGAGCCCTCCGGGAGCGCCCTCTCAGCGAGACGCCGCCGCTCGGGGCTCCGGGCGTCCAGCGACGGGCGAGCCGCACGCGCCGGCGGGGCGGCTCAAAACCACGTCGTCGCACTTTTTCTCTCCACCTCGGGCCCGTCCGCTCGGGACTGTCGCTCCAATCTAAGAATCAGCGATCCGATTGGTGGCTAACGTCTTTCCGTGTTTTTGAGAACTTGAGTGTGGTGTGTTGTTGCTGCTGTTGTTGTGCATTGTGCACTGCAACACGCATCTGTGCATGTACGCACTGGATGTGGTAATATGTTGTTGCGTGACCGCTTTAGGCATGGCAACTTTGCTGTGAGTGGTGCTGCCGGCATTTTTTTCTGCAGCTGCGCGATGCTGCTGGGATTGCGCGTGCGGCAAGCTGTTGACCTCAAAGAATACAGACGGACTTGTGTTCTGTCATTCTTCACCATGTGCCGGTGTGTTTTGATAACTTCAACCTATCTCGGAACATGAGTTTTGAAGAAGAAACGACAACCGCCTGCACGTGACGCACGTTACTGCATGCATGTATCGCGAATCATGTACGTATATCTATCGCAGTAACCTACACATACATACATGCAGTACATCCCCATGTTCCTACCTTTCGTGCACTTACTTTATTTTGCGATGGTGCATGAGGAGTGTGTTTGGTGGACTGTTTACTGTTTACTACCACCTGTGTGTGGTGTCGTAACGCGGACGCCACCCCGTATGCGCGTGCGGTAGCCGACAAACATTTCTTCCGAAAATAAATGAGAAGACGGAAGCCGGACAACTTGCGGCATTCAATGTGACAGAAAAAACTGGCTCTCGGAACTCCGAACATATCACATGCATCTCGCTCATGTTTGGTTCTCATGATCAGCTCTGTGTGCTGTGTGTGGATCCCTCTGCGGTACGTATGTGGTCCGGAGGACGACAGACACTGTGTGTGTGTAGTATGCGAACATTAAACTTTCGGAGTACTGATCTAGACTGACTGCTGTAGTGTAGTATTGTATGTAGTCTCACGGCTGTATATAGCTATATGTACAAGCAAGCCACACTTGCACACACAGACAGACAGCTTAAAGCGCGCCACGTGCACCCAAAGTAGTAGCAGCCATAAAAAGGCAAACAAGTAACTGCAGTTTTCTTCTTCTGTTGTCATACCGTACCTATCTATCTGTTAATAATCCGGAGAGTAGCGTAGACTCCCCCAACACTCGGTCACAGGGTCCCAGATTGTTTACTGTAGAAAATGCGCATTGTATTGTGTGTTTTCCATCGCACTGAGACTGACGTCTTCATTGGTCAGCCGGTTAGCGCGGTCAAGATGCTTGCTTACAGATGGGCCCGCAAATACGAAACATTCCGCGAGTAAAAAAGGCTCAACTTTTTAGTAAAAAAAAGTAAAAAGGACTAAAGAGACACAGCTCAATCTCGGCCACAACATAAGAAACGTCCTAAGACCCATGTTTATGGTCGCCAAATCTTTGCGAAAATGTTTATATTTTCAAACATTTGCGGACAAAGATTTTGTTTCACTGTTTATGGGAGAAAATCTTCGCCAAAATATTCTCAAACATTTTGAAATGGGGCAAAAGTCGCTCGTTTGACAAAATATTCTCAAACATTTTGAAATGGGGCAGGTCGCGAAAATGTTTCCCAAGAGCGGCGGGATTAGTAGACGACCGCCCCTTCCGTCCTAAACACCAACCACTGCGTAGCGCACACTCAACGTAGCAAGCTCAGAGAGGGATCCGGACAACCCTAGAGTCACCGTGTCAATGTTTTGCCGGCTGATACATGGCGGGAGCTCGTCAAGCGTGCACAAAAAAACAAACAGACAGGGGTGGTTTGGAGGGCACGGAGAAAGCGTGGTTTGTGTCTCCAAACGGCAAAAAGTCGGCTGCTTGAGAGGAGAGGTGAGTACAAAACTATCCAGCTCTCGTCCTCTAGTCCATCGATTCATGTTTTGTCTTCTTGGGTGTCTTCTCCATCAACGGCTCTCATCCGGGTGTGCGTGGTTCAGCAGTGGACTTACTCAACAGGCAGGGAGGCGCGTCGCTGTGAACTCGATGTGTTGAAAAAGTCTTTTTTGGGACGGAGGAACAAGGGCTCTATATTCAAGTGAAAAAATAGACCGAAAAAAACGTTGTGTCCACAACTTTGCGCGCATAACGATGTGCCTCCCTGCCGGCTGAGCGCGGCCACTGCCAACCCACGCACAACCGGATGAGAGTCGTTGATGGAGAAGACACCCAAGAAGACAAAACATGAATCGATGGTCTAGAGCACGAGAGCTGGATAGTTTTGTACTCACGTGTCCTCTCAAGCGGCCGACTTTTTGCCGTTGGGAAGCGCTGACGCACGTTTTGGTCTCTTTTTGACACCGAGAACATTTTTTCTCGCACGCCCGGAGCGCTATCGCCACATATTGGCGGGCACAGCATCAGCTCAGTGCATCAAGGGTTGTGGGGAGCCCTTGGCGAGCTCGTTACATTCAGTTTCCATGACGCATTTGTGGTTTGTCTGTCACAAATCGTTTGGTAGCAGTAGACCACGATTCCCGCCGCACGTGCGATGCATTTCGAGAAACCACACGATAAAGATTTTTTTGCCCATAAAAACGGTACTCAAATGTTCCTCTGGCAGATATTCGCGCGCAAATGTTTGACAACATTTGAAGATTTTTTTCAAAGATTTGGCGACCATAAACATGGGTCTAAGACCCTTCTTTATGGAAACATTAACATAATCTTGCAATTATATCTTGGCATTTTGACCCAAGATTTGCTCACAACATATCTCCGCGAAGATTTGCAGTATCGCGATTTATGGGGGAAATATCTTGAATGTTGAAAATGCGGCGTGTTGTTCCTCTCTTCTGCTTGAAGTTGAAAAAGGCACAACGGCCACTTGGTCCACAGAAAATGCCAAGGTGTGGCGAAAAGTGAGCATGACGCAGTTGTCGAAGGGGCATCCCTCCCCCAGCTGTATTGCCTCAACACTGTGGGTAGATACTAGCCATGGGCGCCTACCTGGGGTGCAAAATAGAAGCCGTTGCCCACGAGCTCATGTCAAGCGGAGAAACAAAACTGTTCCATTGCTGTCCAACTGACAAGAAAGTGCATCAACCCGAGGCCGATGACACCCATGCACGTATCTCATGATGTAGCAGGCGTACCGAGGTCAAACCTCCGGCGCTGTCATCTGCACCCACGGATTTAGCTCGGGTGCAAACGGATTGGGTGTGGGGTGATTCGATGAAGAGATAG